TGGCCAGGAACTCCAGGGCTCATGCAATCCTCCTGCCTCAGCTCCCAAGTAGCAGGAGCCACAGGTTGCAACACTATGCTAGGTTCTCAGCTCCTGAGACAAGTGTACACAGTGACACTGCTAAGGAATGCGATGGCTGAGCATAAGTCAGACCTTAAAAGTGTTCTTCCCCTGCATGGTCTCCCAGGCAACACCTTCAGTAAGGCCCCTTCAGCCTTCAAGGGCACCAACCCAGGTCTGTGCTGGTCTCCAGGACTGTCCTTTCCCAATCACAGTATGTCAGGGCTGGAGGGCACATAATAATGGCAGCTAGTTTACAGCACTCCTTTTCCAGTCCTTTTCTGGCTTAGGGCTTCTGCAAACCCCTTCCTGGGTCCTTTTTCTCCCCAGTATGAAACAGCAGGGACAGCCTCACCATGATGGCTGCACCCAGGACCAGCACATGGGGGCGCAGGTGAGGTCCAGAAATCCTCCATGAGTAAGGATCCGAGGTTACCAGCAAGGTAAGCTCCTGCTCTGCATGGGACACTGTGTTGCTCATAGTGGGGATGGCAGATATGACCCCTGCAGCACTGACAAGGGTCCACTGCCTTTGCCTCTTGCCTCCCTGGGAGATGCCCTTATTCTCATTGATGATGAAAAAAATCCATGTGAGTTGAGAAATAAAATTGGGACTCCACAATACTGGGCATGGAGTAGGCAAGAGGGGCCTCGTCTGTCTAATGCAGCGCCACAAGGCAGAGGCAGAGATGTCCCCAGGCAGCAGCACTAGGACAAGAGGGGAACTCTGGTTCTGGTTCCAGAATCCAGGCTCATTCTACTCTGCCAAGTGTGCCATGCTCAAGCTGTGCATAGCAGGACCAGGAAGGGACCCAAGTCTTCTGGCTTATTGCACTCCATCACCCTATCTCCCCTCCTAGGCCTAGAGTGCCATGTGTGACAATGCATGGAAGGAAAGGGCTAGATGCTCCCCTCTCCCACCACTCCCAAATTGGCTGATGGAAGAAACAGGAAAACAAAAATCCAAAAAATTATAATAGATGTTGAGCAAATGTTTTTTGTGCGCACACATGTCCTCATTAGAAATATAGGACTGTCGGGCCTGACCACTGCAACATTTTACACTGCAATCCAGTACAATGCCCCAAAACAACCCAGTACAGTAAATATATATGTTTGCCACACAAAAAATGGAAGGTTTCACAAAATAATACTTTCCGTTATTTTTAAATGTGTATTTTGTTATATTATATTCATTTTTAAATGGTCCTGGTTACTAAATTCATTTCATGATCTATTGAAAATCACTGACTAAAGCACTCACATATACTTGGATATTCTTTGATGTCTTTCCTTGGGTTTCCTTCTGGTTTAGATAATACCAACACCCTTACTCTTTCCCACAGACTGTTTTCAAACTGTTTAATAATTTATCATGGCTACTTTCAGCTTCTCTCGTCTTCTCCAGACTCTAAGAAGGGCTCCACAGTTGCCAAGAATCGGTGGGTTGCTTCCCAGCACCAGTACTTCTAGCGCTAGCTAGCGGGGGCTCTTGCACTCTCTGCATCAATCAGATGAACTTTCCAGATGACACAGCTCCACGGGCAGCCCTTGGCGATCTTTTTGCTGTTCCACCCTCAGGTTATTCACTGCAGGATGGAGGGCATCAGTGCCTCCTCACAAAGCATTTACATGCAAGATGTAGTTTCCAAATCATTGCTTATTTCCCACCCACCCCTCTCTCTGGACCAACGCCTATGGAGTGTTTGACCAAGAACGAGTTACAGGTAGACCCCTGATTCCTGCTGAACGCCTCCAGCTCCAGGAACCACTTTCGATCGGCTCACTCTGAATCTTAGAAACATCTCGACTCTAACAACTATTTTTGTCCAAATTGCCAGATTAATTCGGAAAGGGAGAACGGGGGCTAGGAGTGGCGCCCCCTGGTGGGCAGTGCGACAGGGGCGTGGTCACTGACCCGGAGTCGGCTAGGTTCAGCCGACGCGCAGACGCAGGCGTGAGGAGCCTCCCGCTGGCACCGGGACAGAAGCTATAAATAATTGAGGCCAACTCCCAGGGGAGTGATATTCCGCCTCTGGCCGCACAGCTTACAACTCCCAGCAGGCTCCGCGCGAGCCCGGGGACTCCATCTCCCGGCGCTCCCCACGCCCCGCCGGCCTGTCAATGGCTCGCGCTCCAAGCAGCTTTCTCCCCTTTTACCTGACGGCCGAGAAAGTCTGGAATCGAAAGGATGGTAGCGACCTGCCTGGGACAGGGCCGCCCCGAATCCCGACCCGAAATAAGTGCACCAACATGCTGGGGCAGGAAGACCGGAGCAGCCGGCAACAACAGTTTCACCCTTATCCCACCGAGGTCTCCATGTTGGCTCCAGCCCCCATCCCGACAGCCTCCTCGCGCCTCGGCGCTGACTGGTGGAAAGAGACATCAATTTTACTGCAAGCTATGATTGGAGCAAACGATGACCGCCCTCTTCCTTCTGGAACTGTGATTGGATAGGGTCGTCTAATAGCCCGCCTCCCAGCCGTGGGCGGGGCCGAGTGGGAAAGGGCTCTGCCTCGTGCCCCGGGCTCTAGTCCGCTGGGTGTGTGGTAGGGAGGCCGGTCCTCCCACCTGGGTGATGTGCAGAGTAACGTGTCAGCTGACCTCGGGCGGTTTTCCTATGGATATTCCTGACGATCTCCAGATGTCTCCCGTCCAGATGTCCTGGGGTCTCTAGGGAGTGTACAGCGCTGGTTCTGGAGTGGGGCGGGCTGGGGGCGGGGAGCGAATGAGCAAAAATCGACCGTGGGAGTTAAAAACAAAAATAAACGAAAGGCAAGAGTCGGATGCGGTGGCGCACGCCTGGAATCCCAGTTACTCAGGAGGCTGAGGAAGGAAGATCGCAAATTCGAGGACAACCTTGGCAACTTAGTGATGACTATCTCAAATAAAAAAATAAAATGCAAATGTTTCCCCACGTGTGGCATCCCCTGGGACACTCCTTCTTCTCAGTTATTGAGAACTTCTAGTATGGAGGTCCTGAAGTTTATCAGACCCATCTCCCAAACAGCCGGGTCTGAGCGACTTGCTGAGGCTCCAATCGCACTGGGAACAGCACTGCACCTCTGTTTTAACAGAGCTGTAATTATTTGTTTGCATATTTGCTCCTCCCACTGGGGGTGTGACTTCTTGGTGGGTAGTGGCTCTGACTCATTCATTCTGTTCCCTTCCCCTCCAAATACCTGGCAGGAAAAAGTGCCCTCTGTAATAAATTGACTTTATATCTCCCACCATTGGGGATTGAACCCAGGGGCCCTCTACCACCCCCTTTATTTATTTGTGTGTGGTCTGGAATTTAACTGAATTACACCCCCAGCCCTTCTTTTTTTCTCTATTTTTTAAATTTTGAGACAAGTTTTCACGTTGCTGAGGCTGGCCTGGAACTTGTGTTCCTCCTGCCTCAGCCTCCTGAGTTGCTGGGATTCCAAGCATGCACCACCACACCCTGCAACTGACTTGAATTGAGGATGGTGGTAGGAAGACCAGTGGGTGAATTTAGAGTAGAACCCAGTCGGGTTAGTTTGAGCTTGGGCTGACAAGTTCAGGGGTTATGGGGAGGTGCCCTGATGTAAGTAGGATGGAATATCTGTGGTACCAAGTGAGTGATGTTAGTAAGGTGAGGGACAGACTAGACGAAAACCCCACATAACCCATCTTGACTGGTGTCACAGAAAGATTTTGAGAATTTCCTAGCCCCCTGCAATGTGGGATTCCACTTTGCCACCTATAGAGGAGTTAGGTCTTGTTTTCATAGCTTTGCCTCCTGCTCAGCCATAAAGCTATGCCAAGTCCTGTAACAATGCCCCTCCCAAGAAGGAGACACAGAAAAACAGGTACTCCTGGGCTCACTTTGTGGGCAGATCCATGATTACCTCCACACTCCTCCAGTAAATAATCTAGGAACCACTGTGTTCCTTTCCATGTCATGGATACTGGTCCCTGTCTCAGGCCTTGGGCCTGACCCTGGGGGCCTGGCATCTGCTGGCTGAGTCAGCATCCTAGGCATGGGCTTCAGTAGGACACCTGGTGATTCAGGGCCTCAGGAATGGCGTTGGGCAAGCCACCAGACGAGCTGCCTGGGCCTCCTCTTCCTTACTGAGGTTACCACAAGAACCCCACTCAGGCAGCTCTTTCCTGGGTCCCCAAATTATCCTTCCAGCTGCCTTCTGAAGCCAATTTAGCCCTTAAATTGCTCAGGCCCTAGAAACTGGATCAGTACTTGAATCAGAGGGCATTAGGGTTCAAGAGGATAGGGAATAAACATAATGGTACTTCCAAGCTCCCCACACTACTTTTCAAATCCAAGATAGCTGCCGTTCCATCCCTTCCTTCACTTCCTTCCTCTTCTTGCTTTCCCCCCATCTGGCTGCAAACTCAGGCTGTCTCCCCTCTTCCTTTATTTAGCACCCTCAGGCAAATAAAACCATTTTCTTTTTTTTTTTTCTTAAAGCATTTTCCTATTGATAACTGTAGGTGGGCGTAGAGGGAGGAGATATGATTTTAAGAAATGGAAGATTTGGCCTGGGGAGATAGCTTAGTGGTACAGCACTTGCCTAGCAGCACGTGTTAGTGCCTGGGTTTGATCCCCAGCACTGAGGGGAAAAAAGGAAGATTTGACATCTTGGCTTCAAAGTCCTACAATCATTTAATGAGATTCCACTTTATTGCTTTGTTGTTTTGGTGGCTCTCTTTTCTTTACCTCTAGCCCCTTCAAGGTCTGAAGATGGAGACTGTCTTCTTGTCCCAGTGCATGCCCAGTCCCTGCCTTCCAAGTTGGCACCTCTCCCAGGTATGGGGGCTGGGCCCTGAGAGGATTGGCCTCAGGTTGCCCTGCAAGGGGTGTGAGTGATCACACAGGGGACTGAGAGCTGGGACGCCCGAGGCCTGCCCAGCCTGAGTCACCTGGTACTGTTGTTGTCATTGTCCTGGTTGAAGTCCCTGCTCACTTCTATAGATCTCTGTGGGAAGAGCCACAGCCCCATCCCTCCAACCTCAGGAGAAGAGAAGCCGCAGCCTGATGGTGAGCCGAATGGGCTGGGGGGGGAGCAGGGGGCGGCTGGGGCACTGGGGAGAGCTGGGGCCTGGCTCAGTGCCCCTGCTCCCTGTGCCCCTGCTGCCCCCTACTCCTCCGCGTCGAAGACCTGGGGGAGGGAGGGTCTCCTTCTTCTCTCTGTCCCCTACCCCTCGTACAAGAAGCTCCTCCTCCTCACCATTCCCTCCTGCCCTGGGGTCCTCCTGCCCAGTGCTGCAGGGGACAGAGGCCTCTCAGCCTGGCCACAGTGCCCTCCCCATCCCAGCTACCCCCCCAACACAGGCAAGACCTGCATCGACACCCGCATCTGCTTCCTCCTCCTGGGGATCCCACTCCACCCCACCCCTGGCCTCTGTCACTCCCCCTCCCTCACGCCGGTGCCCCCAGGACCCTCCTGGGCTGCGGATAGGCCCTCTGATCCCTGAGCAGGATTATGAGCAGCTGGAGGACTGTGACCCTGAGGGGTCCCAAGACTTACCCCTCCAAGGGGAGGAGCAGCAGCCCCTACTTCATGTGCCTGAAGGGCTCCGGGGTGAGTGTGTGGCAGGGAATAGGTGGGGGGACTAGGAACTTCATGGCTCAGCCCTGTGGGCCTCTGGCATGAGTTGAGGGTGTGGAGAGCTGATTGCTCAGGGGTCAGCGCTCAGTCCTGATGTGCTGTGCTTCCTGCCTAGGCTCCTGGCACCACATTCAGAACCTGGACAGCTTCTTCACCAAGATATCCTTTGTATTGGTCTTCAGAGGAAGCACGGAGGGAGTGGGTCCCTTGGGTGGGGAAGGGTTGTGGGAGGGGAGGGTCCTCAAGAAGAGCCCATTGCATTGTGCCTCAGGTGTCTTTAACACCACTGCCACATCTATAGCTACCGCCAGCGAAGTGGCTTTGCCTGCATCCTGCTGGAGGATGTCTTCCAGCTGGGGTGAGAAGCTGACCCTGGCCCCGAGCATTATCTTCTGCTTCCTCCATAATGCCTGTTGCTCCCAGCCCAGCCCAGGCTTGCCCCCAGCAGGCCCTCGCTCTGCTGTGTGTGTGTGTGTGTGTGTGTGTCCCACCTAGTGGTGGGCGGGGCAGAAGCCCACCTGCCCTCAGGCTCATCACAGTCCCACCCCCGTACCTTCCACAGACAGTTCATTTTCATTGTCGGCTTCACAACCTTCCTTCTTCGATGTGTGGATTACAATGTTCTCTTTGCCAACCAACCAAATAACCGCACAAGGCCTGGGCCATTCCACAGCAAAGTGAGCTTGTCAGATGCCATCCTATCCTCAGCCCAGTGTGCAGAGAGGTGAGTGACAGCTGGTGAACACTGTGGCTAGGTCAAGATGACAGGATGGTTTAGATGAGCAGTTCCCAAAATTTTTGGTCTCAGGACTAAGTGTATTTTAAAACACATTTCAAGTTGATGGAGTAGCTCAAGTAGATGATGATTAAGAGATTCATATTTATGTATGTTTACCTTATTAGAAGTTTAAGCAGAGGACTTTAACTTTATTTTTGTAGTTCTGGGGCTGGAACCCAGGGGTTCAGGCATGCTAGGCAAACACTCTACCACTGACTACACCCTCAGCCTCAGGGCAGCTTTAAAACCTAGGAATGTGCAAGCACACACTCCCCAGGCTGTCAGTGTGATGTGAAATTTCTTGTGGTTTCTGGAAAACTCCATTGCACACTTGCAGGAGAATGAGAATTCAAAGAGCAGAAAGCATTGGTGTGATTTGCAAAGAAGTGTTGATTTTGCAGACACTTGTAAGGGCCCCTTTGGGGATCCGCCTCCCTGGACCCCACTTTGAGACCTGCTGGTCTTGCCACTGCTCCAGATGACCGTCTCCTCTCTGGGCTTCCCGTGTTTCTCCACCACGACCTGTCCAACCCCATACAGGATTCATGCCAGCCCCCTGCTGGTCTTCCTCCTGGTCCTGGCTGCTGGCTTCTGGCTGTTCCAGTTGCTTCGCTCAGTTTGCAACCTCTTCAGCTACTGGGACATCCAGGTGTTTTACAGGGAGGCTCTGCACATCCCCCAGGTAAGCTACACAGGCATGTCTGCCTTGAGAGTGTGAGCAGAAGAGAGAGGCAGGAGTTAGGGGTTGCACAGGAGAAAGAGCAAGGGCCATGTGGATGGAAGCACTACCTGGGGAGACAGCAGAAAGGGCAAGGCCTTGTGACACCTGCCCTGGACTAAGAGTAATGTAGGTGGTGAGCACCTCCACTTAGGAGACATGGTCCTTGCTCTCATGGAACTTCCTTTGTTTAGATGTGTCACATAAGATGACTTATAGTCACATGCTTGTGGTAAAAACAATGGGTGTTTAGAGGAAGGGTTGTCACCTGGCTTTCTAGAGCAGGAGGAATTTGAGCTGGGCTTGGAAGGTCAGGACAGGAAGAGGGGAGGACATTCCAAGCCCCAGTTCAGGATTTGGGAAAGCAATAGGCATCTCCAGGCAATGAGGAAATCAACCTGCTGGCTTGAAACGGAGCCTCCAAGGGCCTATTGGGTGATTACCACCACCACTGTAATAAGCCACTTTGTTGGCTTTGTCACCATCTCCTGGTCAGGCTCTGTCCTTCCTTGCTCCCACTCCTACCTCCAAATCTGAGTTCTTTATTCAAGATACCTTCTGTGGCCCACTTCCCTTGTTCCCCTTCAAAATTCCAGAGCCTTTGGCGCAGGCACAGCCCTCTTGCACTGCAAGGGGAGGCGTTCTAGAAGACTTGGGAGTAGGGAGGCTTCAGGTGCAGAGTAGGGGAAAGTCAAGAGGCCAGCAGAATAGACAGGAGAGTAGGAGCTCTGATCCTCTTGGAGGCTGCTGACAATCCCCCTTCTTTTTCCTTCTCTCCCATTCCTTCCAGGGAAGGGGAGATACTGGGATGAGCTGGAAAGGCTGGCTCATAAAGATTTGACTAAGCTGGTCTGGGGAAGCTGGGTGAAACTGGGTTAATATGAGGTTTACAGACCTCCAGATGAGGTCTGACAGCACAGTTGCCTTAGGGCATGGTCAAAGCCAGAGTCATGGGAAGACTAATTTGGTGACAGCACAAATGGCTAAGAGTGACTGTGGCTGAGTGTCTCAAAGCCTGCCCAGGCAGTAGGTAGTGAGGATAGGGGCCCAAACGTGATAAGCATACTGGACATGGGAAGGAGAGATTCCCCCAAGACTGGCCAGTCATTCTGAGGGGAGGCTCAGAAAAACCTGACCTTAAGGAGCCAAGAAGGCAGCTTCCATACCTGGAATTTAATGGTGTCACCAGGAAGCAGTGACTAATGGCCACATGAGTGGCAGGGATGATGAGAAGCAGAGCAATTCAGAATAGGACAGAACTAAGTAGGAAGTGGCTCTGTTAGCACAGGGTTAGGCAGAAATCCAAAGGTGGGGATGGAGGATAAGTGGCTTAGCTTTGGTACTGGTGAGTTTGTGGCCGTTTGTAGGCAGCCCGTGAGGGTGCATTGAGCTTGGGCATCACTGTGGAGTAGAATCAGGACGGCTAGTGCTCACCAGGCCCTTCTCCTTAGGAGGAGCTCAGCTCCGTGCCCTGGGCGGAAGTGCAGTCCCGCCTTCTGGAGCTGCAGAGGAGCGGGGGGCTATGCGTGCAGCCTCGGCCGCTGACGGAATTGGACGTCCACCATCGCATCCTGCGTTATACCAACTACCAGGTGGCGCTGGCCAACAAGGGCCTGCTGCCCGCCCGCTGCCCGCTACCCTGGGGAGGCAGTGCGGCTTTCCTCAGCCGCGGCCTGGCCTTCAACATCGACCTGCTTCTCTTCCGTGGTCCCTTTTCGCTCTTCCGTGGAGGCTGGGAGCTGCCTGATGCCTACAAGCGCAGCGACCAGCGGGGCGCCCTGGCCTCGCGCTTGGGGCGCACAGTGCTGCTGCTGGCTGCCGTCAACCTGGCGCTGAGCCCTCTCGTGCTGGCCTGGCAGGTGCTACACGCCTTCTACAGCCACGTGGAGCTGCTGCGACGCGAGCCCGGCGCGTTCGGGGCGCGCCGCTGGTCCCGCCTGGCGCGCCTGCAGCTGCGCCACTTCAACGAGCTGCCACATGAATTGCACGCGCGCCTGGCCCGCGCGTACAGGCCAGCAATGGCCTTCCTGCGCGCCGCGGAGCCCCCGGCGCCCCTGCGCGCGCTCTTGGCTCGCCAGCTCGTCTTTTTCTCTGGCGCGCTCTTCGCAGCGCTGCTGGTGCTCACCATCTATGATGAGGACGTGCTCGCAGTAGAACACGTACTCACCACCATGACTGCGCTCGGGGTGACAGCCACCGTGGCCAGGTGGGACGGCACATACCTGGGGTGGTGTTGGTGGTGTATCCTTTTTTGACCAGGGGCTGAATGAGACCCCTTCCGCTGGCGAACCCTAACCTCTCCCACCTCTAGCGCCCACCCCATCTCTCTGTTCCACCCATTGTTCTCCTAACCCCAGATCCCTTCCCCACCCCAAACCCCGCCCTCCAGGTCTTTCATTCCGGAAGAGCAGTGCCAGGGGCGTCCCCCGCAGCTCCAGCTGCAGGCCGCCCTGGCGCACATGCACTACCTCCCAGAGGATCCCAGCGCTGGCGGCAGGGCCAGTGCCTACGGGCAGATGGCGCAGCTACTGCAATACCGAGCGGTGAGGGTCGGGATCACTGGCGGCTGCGGAGGTGACACGGCACTGGGTGGTCTGGCTGGAAGAGGCAATGGGCCACACAGGGACCTCCAGCCTACCGAGTGCCTAGGTTGGAGGCTTCTTGCCCTGGCGAGTGTCCCTGGGGGCTCCCTAACCCTGATCACTGGGGGGGTCCCTCAGCAACTCCTGCTTCCCCAGGTCTCTCTCCTGGAGGAGCTCCTGTCCCCACTCCTCACCCCGCTGTTTCTGCTTTTCTGGTTTCGCCCTCGTGCATTGGAGATTATTGACTTTTTTCATCACTTCACTGTGGATGTGGCCGGGGTTGGGGACATCTGTTCATTTGCTCTTATGGATGTGAAGCGCCATGGCCACCCTCAGGTGAGAGCCCTTTTCTGTCCTGTGGGGTTATGCTGGGTAGGAGTTTGCTTGTCTCACCCAAAGCAGACCTGGGTTTCAACCCAGCTCCATTGCTTGCTACCTGTGACCTTGAGCAATCTCTTCACTTCCCGGTGCCTTAGTGTCTTTACCAGGTGAAGGCAAGGAGAGTAAGCAGAGTGTAGATGTGTAAGGATGACAATGAGATGACATCGGTAGACCCTTTACAGAGTTGCTGGCAGTAAATGGGAGCAGAGGGCCTCACAGAGGCTGGGAGAGGGGGGATGGCCAGTGGTTAAGTTTAGAGAGGACAGCCATCCCTTTTCCCTGGGGCCTGGATCTATAGCACTGGGACTGTCTGTATTTGGAAGCTGGGTCTAGACCTAGGTCCTGCTCCTCTGCTTTTCTGGATGATCCTGAAGTCATTGTCTCAGCTCTGTTTCCTTCACTTGGAACATGGAACAGTATTTCCTGTCCCACCTACTCCCCAGAGGCTCAGTGTCTAGCATCTTGAAGGACTGTTGTTGCTCACAGTGGCTCTCGGAGGGACAGACAGAAGCCTCCCTGTCTCAGCGTGCAGAGGATGGAAAGACTGAGCTCTCCTTGATGCGCTTCTCGCTGGCACACCCACAATGGCGTCCACCAGGGCACAGCTCTAAGTTCCTTGGGCACCTTCGGGGACGGGTACAACAAGATGCAGCTGCCTGGAGTGCTACCTCCACTCGAAGCCCCCCAACTCCAGGGGTGCTCAGCAACTGCACCTCACCTTTGGTGAGTCCCAGACCTGTCCTACCCTTCTGCCCTTCCCACCCCTGGTCCCAGCCTTCCCCTCTTCCCGTTTCACTTTTGTGTTAACCTGGTGGCTGGCCCAACCAGCCTGCTCTTCTTCATTCTTCAGATTTCCTTTACCCCCTTCCTTCCTGTCCTCTCTTCTGACCCTTTTGGTTTCCTCTTCTCTTGTTCAGCCAGAGGCCTTCCTGGCCAACCTCCTGGGGAATCCGTTTCTACCTCCAAGGGACTTGAGCCCCACAGCCCCCTGCCCAGCTGCCGCCACAGCCAGCCTTCTTGCCTCCATTTCCCGCATTGCTCAGGACCCCAGGTGAAGGGTGGAGACCTGAGACGCAGGGGAATCTTGTTTGGGGCTGATTCTGCAGAAGGAGGGAGCTGGGTGCAAAGGGATTTGAAAGAGGAACTATAGTCTGACCCTCCCTCTGGGGGAAAAGAGCATGTCTCTTGACCTCTGCATACTGTGTTCCAGCTGTGTGTCCCCAGGAGGCACTGGGAGCCAGAAGGTGACCCAGCTCCCAGAGCTTGCTTCTGCTGAGATGAGTCTCCATGCCATCTACCTACACCAGGTGAGTACAAGGGTGTCAGGAAGAGAAATATGGGGAGAAAGGAGATTAATACGATAGAGTGGAGGGAAGGGTGCCTAGAGTCTGAGAAAGTACTTGACAAGAGCTGCTATCCCTCTGTACCTAGCCCAGGGGCTTGGCCTTGCCCTTGGGCAGGAGGGAGCCCCTCATTCTTCTTCATCCATCTAGCTTCATCATCATCAGCAGCAGGAACTGTGGGGCGAGGCTTCAGCCTCCTCCCCATCCAGGCCCTGGTCTAGTCCCTCACAGCCAGCCTCGCCCGATGAGGAGAAGCCATCCTGGTCCAGTGATGGTGAGGAGGCTGGGATGCAGGGGCAGATGTTACTAGATGTTGAACATCATGGCACTGCCCAGCTGACGGCTTTTGTCACCAGGCTCCAGTCCTGCCTCCAGTCCCAGACAGCAGTGGGGAACCCAGAGGGTCCGGAATTTGTTCCATAGAGGGTTTCAAGAGACCACAGACACCCTGAAGGAGCCTGGCCAGGTCCCCAGCACTGACTGAACAGACTCTTCAGGTCAGTATTGTCTGCTTTGGAGGGGAAGGAAGGAAGGAGGAGGAAATTGGTTTGGAGCAGTTGTAGCGGGACGGGAACACTGGTGGGATTTGGAGTAAAGGGGATGGTCATCTCTAGGACCTAGATCCTTCGATTTCTATCAAGAGTCTTCTCCACCCCCAGGTTCCTGGCTTCTCCAGCTACAGGAGATTGTGGATGGGTGTCATGGAAGGACACACAGAGCCCTACAGACGACAGTCCAGGATGCTTTAGTTGGGCAGAACCTGGGGGTCAATAAGGAACTGGCCCCAGAAAACAGGAAAAGAGTAGGAAAGGAGGTGATGCCTGTGGTATGGGGAAACCAGTCTAAGGAATAGTCCCCATATAAAGGGGCTAAAGGACAGTGCCCCAACTGGCTGTCTTAGAGCAGTTATCTGGGAAGAAGTTCTCTGATAACAAGATGGAGTTCAGGGGCCCAGATGGAGATCAGGCTAAGTATTAGAAAGACAGTGAGGAATGTGGTCTGCAAGGCAGGGGGTTCTTCCCTCTGGGGGAAAGGAGCCTCCCCTTTAGGTTCCCATAAGACTTGGGGAAAATGGGGCCTTGTGTGTGGAAAAACTAGGGAGGGCTGATCTTTTGGACTTCAGCATTGAGGAAGTAGGTGTGGCTTCTTATCCTGTGTGAAGTAAGCAGTAAAAATTGCTCATAGCTGTGTGACAGTAGTCTCTGGCATGCCCCACTCCTGGCAGCTGAGGGCTGCATCTGCTTTCTCAATAAAGAGCAACAGAACAACACAGGAGAATTGCCTGTGATTGGCTGGAAACCATGGTTTTAGAGTGCTAGGTCACCTGCAGTGTGTAGGACTGGCTGTCAAAGAATTACCACCCCCACAGCTAAACAAGTTAAAACAAATCTTGTCTTTTTATAATTGTAATCCATAGGGATTGGGTTAGGCATCTCATAACATCTGGCATGATGATCTCATAACATCAGTCTCACGATACTCTTCAATAATAAATATTTGAATGATTTAGACTTTAAAGGTGATACTCCTTCCTGAGGGGGAGGGGGAATCTACAGCTCACCTAAAGCACACCAAGGCAGGGAAGCCAGTCTGGAGAGGAAGAATTTTTCTTATTCCCAGAGGAATAAGGCTGGATTTCTGTAGCCTTGCAACAGGTGCTAGAAGGCACCTTTAAGAGGTGAGGGGAGGTGGCTGGCCCTGGTTAACCGACAGTAGTGTGATAGCCTCTATCTTTGGGCACTGGAGTGGAAAACCAGAGGGCCATCAAGGGTAGAGGGTGTCTGAGCCTGGTGGGTCAAACGCCCAGGGCACTGCGCCCCGCAGCTGTCGCTCCTGCAGGGAAAAGCTCTGGGTGCGTATGCGGCTTGTCACTTCTTGAGTGCGCAGAGTGAGCCCGAAAATGTCTTCGTGGTAGCGTTGCTGATCCTGCGGGAAAAGAGCTCAGTTTATCAGAACAGGGTTCGAGAACCTAGAGGCTTGCATCGGACCTGTCCCGGGCCCCGCCCCTTCACCCGGTCAAGCACTGCCCCCGCCCTGGCCCCGGGCCTTGGCCCTTCGCACCCGCAGCACGCCGATGACGTCACCCGCCTCGTCCAACTCCATGTCGCCCTCTGTCGCTAGGATTCGCTGCACAGTTTGCAGGACGCTGGTTGCCATGGTGACATCGCCGCAGACAAACATGTGGCCCCTCTCGAGGCACAGCACGCGGTGCACCTCAGCAGCCAGCTCAGTCCTCAGGACGTCCTGCACGTAGGTCTGGGGGATGCGGGTGAGGGGCGGAACGTGACTGTGGCGGGCGGGGTAGGGCCTCCGCTCCCGGGGCGAGGTCTAGGGCGGAGGTGGGCATGGGTGGGGCCGAGTGGTTGAGGGGGCGGGGCCTGGGACCGCGTGCCTACCCGAGCGCACTCACTACCCTTCCCTCTGCCAGGCTTCAGGTAGCCCCCGCGCCCTCGGGGTCGCGCACCTTGGGGCTGTCGGGTTCCCGGGAGAAGGCGGTGAGGACGCGGCCAAACACCCCGCGCTGCTGGGCGTCTTGCACCTCGTCGCGGTAGAGATGGTCGAGTTGCGAGCATCGGCAGCCGAATACCAGAGTCATGGGGGCGGGCTGCAGTCCTACGAGCAACACGGCTTGGGAGGGGCCCTATTTGGGTGCAGCCCTAGCGACACCGCCCCATTCATTGGCCACCTTCGCCCAGACTGACAGCCCAGCATTTATGTCGAAAGCAACCACTTTCCTGGCTGTTTGACCTCTAGGGCAATACGTGACGCTTTCATAGAGACCTTGAAGTCTCTTTACCGAGAAGGAAACCGATCTCAGGTGGCTGGCCAGTGGTGGAGCCAGGCTAGAACTGGGTCTTCTGACTGGAAACTCCATGCCCTTTGCGTTGTGACATCGCAGATTCACACATTCTCCCACTCCTTCAACCTTCTTCTGAGTCACAGCCCCCTTTTGATTGACACCCCATGCCCAACCTAAACACCCTGTCACTTCCTTAGGCGAGCCACACCTAGGTGAGCTCTGGCACAGCCCAGAATCTACCTGGGACATTCTTTTGCCTTTTGGGTCTCAGCCCATCCCTTCTTTCTTCTTCTTCTTTTGCTTTTTTTTTGGTACTGGGGCACTCAACCACTGAGCCACATCCTCAGCCCTTTTTTTAGAGACAGGGTCTCACTGAGTTGTTTAGCACCTAGCTGTTGCTAAGGCTGGCTTTGAACTTGTGATCCTCCTGCCCCAGCCTCTTGAGCCTCTGGGATTACAGGCATGCGCCACCACACCCAGCTTGCCTTCCTTCTTAATTCAATTCTGCACCTAGTATGTACCAGGGAGCCCGACAAACAAGGCCCAGCCTCACCGCCAGGCACCTCCCAACCCCAGCCTTGTTCTAATAAATTTCCCTTCACCTTTGGCCCCAGTTTCTTGCACTCTTTCCTACCTGCTTCCTGCTTTCCAGCCCCACCCCTTTGTCCCTAGAATGTGTGACTCCTCCTGCCTTCCAGTCAGTCCCCGCAGCCCCAGCCTCACCTTTGCTCTCAATGTCGTGAAGCCGCTCCTGCCAGAATCCCCTGAAGGGGGCAATGCCAGTGCCTGGGCCCACCAGGATGCAGGGCAGACTGGGATCAGGTGGTAGCCGGAAGGAGGGAGCCCTGGCCAGAGAGACTCCATCAGGCCCCCTTCCTCCCTGGGCCCCAGTTCTTACCAACCTCAGGCAGGTGGTGCAGACAGAAGAACCCAGGGTCCAATGGTAAAGGAGTTATACCTGTAGAGTCCCTGGAGTCGTCTCTGGATCAGTTAGTGGGATGTGTTTATTTAAAAAACTCTGCCCACAGGCAGAAACTCCCTGGGGCTGTAGCTTCTAAGGGATTGGGTTAGAGGAAATTTAGTTTGGACTGGAGGGTACTTAAATGACTCAACTTAGGGGTTTCGGAAAATATGTGGAAGGACAAACAGACTTTTGATTAAAGGGAAGCTCATTGAGTATTTAAAAGCCATCATGTTGAAATTTGGTTTATATTGAGTTGAGTGGATTCCTGGGTGGGTTTGGCTCCCTGGGCCTACTGGGTGCTGAGAACACAGTCACAAGGAGATTTGACTCCTAGCTTCTGGAAAGGGTCAGATAGGAACGCAGCAGGAGGAAAGGGCTCCTGAGATCTTTCACTCCTCAGCACTCTGGCTGAGGGTGGTCTTTACCCTAGGTAGTCCTTTCTGGGTTGAGTGGGGTCTTGGGGACCACAGTCCCATGTGCCATGTCTTCCAACACAATTGTGCCCAAGGACAGAGGCCTGTGGAAGCCATGTTTCACTAAGTGACAACTGGCTGGCCTAATCCCTGCTGTGTCTCTGGAAATCGTAGTTTTAAGGCAGGACCCTGAGTCCAAATTAGTGAAGTCCAAAACTTAGCCACCATTCTCAAGTGGCCTGATGATACCCTGTCCTTGGTCTGTTATGCAGTAACACTCCTCACCAGAGTTACCACCTGACCCTCCGTGACCTCCCCCACTGATTCCCCATCTGTTCCCAGCCAATCATGTGGCACTTTCTCTATCCCTGACTGGACATTCTCTTTACTTGATGCCCCTCCCCATCCTGTAGTTTTCACTTACCCTCTGATGAAGCAAGGCACTAGGTCTCCAGCCTTGAGTTGGCTCAGCCATGTGGAGCAGACTCCATAATGTAAGGGGCCCAGCCCATCTAATGGGTGGGGAAGAGAGGCCAGTAAGGGGCCTGTCCTGGTTCCACTGAGGGACCTGTTCCTGCTCCTGTCCTTACCCTGGGTCCTGTATGCCAACACAGCTACGGTGAGGTGGATCTCTCCTGGGTGGGTGCTGGGTGCTGAGCTGACGGAGTAGTACCGGGGCTGGAGCAGGGGCAGCTGGGTGAGGAGCAGGGGCGCAGGCAGTGCCACTGATGGGAACTGCTCCAAGACCTCCAGCAGTGTGGGACAGCGGAACCACTTCCACTCTTCATAGCGCCGGGGGTCCTGGCAGAGCGGCATGTGGTGGACTGGGTGCCCCATAGCCCTGCTTGGTGACCTCCCTTTTTGAGCCCTCCCTGCTGAACCTCCTTGGGTTCCTCCCTCAGTTCAGGCCAACCAACATCTCTTTACAATCTTGGGCATCCAAAGATGCATCAGTCAGACTGAAGCTGGGTCTTAAAGCACCAGGACAGATTGGCCAGGAGAAGAAAGTCCAGGCAGAACCTTGCGTGAGGACTTCCTGACACTGGGTACCCCCGGCTCATGCTTCTCTCTATCCCTGCTCCCTGTGGGCTGGCCCCCACCTGGCTGAGGGCCTCCAGTTCCTGCTGTTCGCTGGACTCTTCGGCTAGAGTGCTGAGCAATCGAAGGAGGCGAGGGCTGGGTGGAGAAGTGATGTCCAGGAAGTAGGTGAGAGCCTGGCGCAGCGTGCACGGGGGCAGCCGGGGGTCCCGCACCCAGCTCGGGGGAGGGCCACCTAGGGTTGGTGCACAGGGAGCTCTGAGGAAGGGGCCCAGCTCACACTGCACTATCTGGGCTCAAGTTAGCTTTGGGGGGATTGACTCACTGTGTTTTATTCGGAAATCTGCCCTGGAACAGTAGTGTGGGCTTATCTGGGCCTGTCTGGGCACCCTCAGTGTATTTGTCTGGGCTTCCATACCCCTAACCCCTGTTAAGATTTATCTTAACTCTAGTCGCTGATTTGGTAGAAGATACACTAGCTATGGAGCAAGTTGGGGAGGCTCTAGGAGGAGCCCAGAGCAGGGGAAAGTCTTTTGGGGTCACGTTGGGGGGCAGGTTCTGAGACCAGAACCATGCTTTGTGTGGACCATGCAGCAACAAGGCCAGCCTGGCAGGGGTGGCACACCTAGCTTCAAGCTAGTGCCAAGCAGTGAAGGGAGGTGGCAGCCCTGCAGGGCGGACCTCAAGGGGCCACTGGGCCGGGGGAGTGGAGCAGGCTCTCAGTTTCTTGCGCAGATGGAGCCCTTACCAGGGCTGCCCTTCTCCAGCTGCTCCACTGCCACAGGCTCGCTGGGTGGTGGCGGGTCCTCCACGCGGCTCAATAGCGCCTCTACGAGGCCAGGCCGGTTGGGTGGGCACACACCTATATGGTCCCCAGGCTGGTACTGCAGCCCCTCCTGGCCTCCAGTGTCAAGGCGCACCAGGATGGTGGCCCGGCTGCAGGTGGGGAGTTGGCAGTTACAGAGGGTCAGAGAAGGGCAGGGTGGGGATGGAGTTTGGGAGGAGGAGGCTGCAGTGGGCGGGGGGAGGGTGAACCATCTTCCTCACGTGGATCT